TGAAATTGGACAGCTTTCTGCCAACATCCACCCTTGCAAGCAAAGTCTGCAGCCATTGAACATCATGAATCATGAATCATGACATCAAGAGGGACCATATCAATGGCGTGAGAAAGAATGCATAATGAACCGAATCCGACTCACGCAATCTTCAACTCCAAAATCACATAAATGCTAATTCGCTCCGAGAGGAAATTGCAATTCCAGAGCGCATCTGAAGCAAAGCCACGATGCTCTGGCAATCACGAATTGCCAACTGCCAACAAACAGTCCATGCCCAGAAATGGAATATATGATGTCACGTTACCCCAATGGTAACCTCAAAAATGACCAAAAAAGGACGTTACCTAAAACTGCATCGAGAAGGAGAAACTGTATCGAGATGCACGTGCCAAATTTGGTGAATGTCGAAGTATGTCCCCATGAGGCACAATCAGGTCAGTAGCCAAGCCTCCGAAGACGCCAATGAACCTTGCTTCAATCCGCAAATCCAAACGAAGCGACGTATCTAAGCAATGGGGTGCGACGGGTACCACACAGATTACTAATTCATTGCCCCAACTTACCTCTCTGACAAACCCATCATCCTTATCTTGTTTGTGATTGTTCTTCATGGTTCTTGACAAGTTGTGCAAGTTGCTCAGGCGACAGCTGGAGCCAACTGGTGGGCCAACAGGTCCAGACTTGAAGCCGTTCACCTCCCTGAGAGACAAAGCAACGCATAAACGCATAGCCTAGGTTCTACCCAAAACATTTCCGCGTTCATCACTGCCATCTTCTCTACCATCCTGTCAGAATCTTGTGGAAGCCTGTCGCCTGTCAACCATATATTAATTATATGTCTTCTTCGACATGCCTCTGCTGCTGGGTACATCTGTCTGCAGGCAGTCCCAGTTGGGGTAGGTCCAGAGGGGCGCACTCTGACTGTGACTTCCGTCGAGGATCACCACGCGCCTCCTTACCACGAATGTGCAAAGAACATTTTATGTCCGACCCACTGCCGAAAAGTACCATGGGAGGTGATGTGGTGTGTCCAGTACCTCAATGTATTTCCATGTCCTCCAACTTGATTCTTTAAATGTGCCATCGCAGTTTAGGCCCCACGCTTGCGCGGCCAAGCGAATCAACCGGCGTATCTCGCCCGCTTGACGGGCAGCTGCTCCAGCATCTTTCCCTATGCCTTTGCCTCAAGAGTTGCAAGACTTGTGAGAACCACCACGGTAGTCATGATGACCCAAAGGGAGATGCACAATGGCGCTCAGTAGACAATAGTCAACGTTGTCTGGGGCATTGGCCGCTGTGATCCAGCCTCATGAACCAGAAAGAGCAAACAAAGAAAAGAAGGTACCCTGTGGCTGCCTCATCATTGGTGGTTCTTTTTCCGAAGTGGGGTCCTTTTATATAACACTCCATCCTGTACTCATGACTTTGCTGGTAGGAGTTTGCAAAGACTAGAAAGCGGCTCTATTCCGGAGCAGCATGCACTCCGAAGCGCACACTTTCGTTAGAACAAACAACCCTACTCATCCCTCCAATATGCAGCGCCAAGCCGGACACAAGAGGGGTGAGATTGGGACGTAGCCCTTCAAAGAGATGTGACAAAGGGAGTCTGAACATGGCTGGTGACAGCTTTGTCTTGGCATGTCTTGGCGCAAGCTCGCTAGACTGGCCACAGCCACCAAACGAGCCGATTAGGAATGGTCTACCTGTCTACCTCTCCCTTCAATTTCTATTGTCTTTTTAGAGACTCCAGCTCGCATGAGACATGAGTGCTGTCTGAGGATTAGACCCATTCGCACCGTGGCCACCGCCTTTGGCCATAACATCGTCTCGTTTGGCCACCCATTTGGACATCAACTGGCCTCACACCGGTGCTGAGGCAATGGGGGGCAGAAAATGACAAGCGAAAGGCTGTCTTCAATTTAGAATTTGATCCGCTTTCTTTCCTTTTCCTTCTTTTTCATTTCTTTCTTTTTTGTTGTGTTTTCATTCCATGTCTATGGTAATTATTCATGGATGATGGTACATGATCACATCCGATGCAATGAAGGACTGCAGTTCTATATACAGGTGTACGTGGCGGGGAACAAAAAGGTAAGGCCCCTCGAATAAGGCCACCCTTTTTCCTCACCAATTTCTATAAATGATAAAGCATGCATGTAAATATCTAATGCACTGTTCATCTGGTGGTCTTTGGGTTTTCCCTCCGGGTCTCCATTTCGATATCTTGACATTACTCTTTCAAGTGATCCTCTGAGCTTGACCAGACAACACATAGATAGATGATCATAGGTGCGTGTGCATCCTATGTTCTTTATATGCAACTTATATCTGTATTAAATGCGCGTGTATATATATATTTATGGATACACGCAACGGCTTAATGCTTCTGTGTGACATATGACAGCTCCAGCCTTCAGATCCAGCAAAGGAAAAATCAATGGCCTGAGGCCGCCTTGGACAAGCAACGGTTGCGTAAAAGCATAGAAAAACGACGCTGAGAAGCTTGGCGATCAGAAACTTTCGAGAACGCCCAAGAACAAACACAAATGAATAGAGGCATGCTGGTAGAACCAAGAAACTGAGAAACTATCTATAATATACTGTAGACAAATCGAAAAGCTCTGAAATGTTTCAATCAAAGGCCGAGTCAGGTGCAAATAAATATGGAGTACCACGCAGAACGATATGAAGGCACGAGGAGGGCTCAGGTGTCCTTGAGCCCAGATCGCACGCGAACGTTGCAAGTTGCCCATCCTGCCAAAACAACACCCGTACAAACATAAACTAACACAACTGAGGGTTGTCCAAAATACTGCTTCCTGAAAATGAGTCAGCCACCGCTGCCGTTTCACCTCCCTTCGCCCGCTTGCTTGGAATTCTGATGCGGCATTAGGAATCCCATAGGTTTTTGTCGTTCTTGATGCCGCCATGATCATCGGGATGGGGTGGGTCGGGGAGCCATGACGTTCTCAACTATGATGTTTGTTGAACCTTCCACGGGGGCAATGACGTTGTCAACTATGACGTTCGTTGAACAAAATCTACAGACACATTTCTGTAGCCTTCTGGCCGGACACGAAACAGCTCCATGAGGGAGTTGTGTCTAAACAGTCTGGTTTCCTGTTGGTAGAGCTTTCTCAAACAGAACATTGATTGGTTTCCGTTTCCGGATCCCTTGAAAACTTTTTGTGTGGATGTGTTGCACTTGGGTTCTTTGGTTTCTCGAACTTAGGTGCAAGAGTTTTTTGGTCATGATTGCTTGAACATTGTGTCGGACCCTGTCATTTCGATCTTGACTTTTCCTGTTTACCTTATTTTTCAAACATGTTGTTTCGTTGCTTTTTGTGTTTAGGATGAGGGTAAATTACTAGTGCACGGATGTGCACTGTTGGCTCTGCCTAGACCTCTGAAATTTGTGAAAACCATGGAATGCGGAGCGGGGACAGAGATGCATGAAACTGAGCAAATACTATGACATTTTGTGACATAGTTCTGTGGAAAGTGACAAATACGTACACGAAACACTGTCTTGAGATTATTGCATATCCATGAATCCACGAATTCACACTGATTGCACACTGGTTGCGGCGTTTTTCCATTGTATAAACATATAGTTTGTGGTTTGTTTTCGATGATCATTGCTTATTGGTTGCCGTATGTTGCCGTGCATGGTCCGCAAAACAGTACCTGTTTTGTTGCGAACATGCGTGGCAAATTTGTTCCGTTCAATTGGAAACATCTCTCCTCGACGTAGTTTCTTTAGCCATTGCTGGCTCAAACATATTAAAAACAACACTTGGAACACTTTCGCCTTTCGCGGTTCTTTCGTGTTTTTTCTCGGTGGCTTGAGTGAGTTTAGCAGGTGGGGAAGTGGCCGCCACGAATCCGCACATGCCAAAGCCCAGCAATGCACTACAAATCAGCACAAAATCCAAAAACCTGAGAATCCGCCGGCCTTGGGGCCACGGCGTGTTTTGGGTAGTTGGTTTTTTGTTAGTTCTTTGTTAAGCTATGTCTTGTCTGTTTTAGTGCTCCCCCGGGCGGATTTTTGAACGGTCTAACCTGACCCCCCCCACCCCTCCTTCCCTCCCCCCATGTAAGTATTGGTGTTTGCGCTGTCTCTTGTTTGTACTTTTTTTTGTCCATGTCATATGTTGCTTTGTCTTTCTTTTGGAGCAAGTTTTTGCCTCGTCTAACTTGACCCCCCCCGCCCTCCCCAAGAGCATCCCGAATGTATGTAGCTCACATATGTCATAGCTAAAGTGAAGGTTGTGTGCGCTTCCTTCTTCTCGTCGTTCTTCTCTTGTCGTTGTCCATGCATTGCGCTTCTGCTTTGCATGCGTTTTCCTCAGGTTTTGCACCTGCACTCACGTATCTATCGTTTTGACTCAGACTGCTTGGAAATCCCCATGCCACACATGTGCTCATTACTCTCTTGTATCATGTCTGACGGAATGCTATGTACGTTTGCTGCTTCGCACGGTCTACTTCGCTCATTGTGTCACATGTCATATAAATTGTCTTCTTGCTTGGCAGGCTATACTTTGCATCCCCCAATTTCATCTCCCTGTGCTCTTATTGTATCATAATGCACGTCATTTCATGTAGGCTCCTCTGTTGCTCCAGCTGTGTTCTGGATGATGCCGTTACTTTTTCTGCTCTGTTGCAGTCTTTCCTCTTGACGCAAAAGGTAATCCGCATCTTGGGACCATTGGCTGAAAAGGCCGACAGAAACAACCCGCAGGGTGTAATAATCACACAGCCTAACACCACGACAGGTCACAAGCACTGCGTTTGCGCTTTGTGTCTTTCTGTTGGTTTCTGGAGTTTGACGGGTGTTGATTTGTTTGCGGCTCAGTCTCTTGTTCTTGTGACAGCAGTCTTGGCATTAACATTGAGCACAGCGACACATATGGCTGAAAAACTGTACAGATCCAAAGGTGCATGCGATTGTTTATATCACATTGAGGAATTCAATCTGGCAGGGACAGGCTTTCTTTTGTCTCCTTGCGCGCATGCATCTCTTTTCGCATCAAACCTTTCGCCGCGAAATAGGGGCAACCTTTGCGACAAACCTGGCAACTGCCCATGCATTCCGCCAGGCTCCACTCGCAAAACTGTTGCACAGGATGCCTGTGATCAAGTTGGTGGCGTAACAGGCACACAAAAGAAACATCAAATAGCCCACGGTCAGCCCCATTGCTCCTGGCGGATGACCGCGGTGGCGTGGATTTTGATCCCAAATCGCAACGAGGGTTGGCAATTGTTGAAAGGACGAAACTAAATGACACTGCGGAGATCTATATGTCTGGGATGGGTTCACATGTTTTCACCTGGCTATCACATTTATTAGCCATGCTGGTACCTAATGGATCCTAATGGTACATATGGGTTCGTTCCCATCCCAACGGAATCCAGAAACTGCCCCACTACCCCGTGCAAACACGTCCAACAATTTAGTGCTCATCTTCCTTTCCTTTCGCAAAAAGAGGCGTGCATTTACAACAGCTCAGCTTTGTTTTTGCTAGCGCCGCTGTTAGCGACCCCCGGAAAAAACGCTATTTTTTGTCTGCGTGATCTTCACTTGCATGTGCATATGGGGTGGGTCGGGGATGGGGTTGGGGTGGGGATGGGGTTGGGGTGTAGTTGCACACGGACTTGATGATACGCTTTGGATGGGGTGGGGATGGGGTGGGGTGATGTTAACGTTCGTATGAAGTTGCAAACGGACTTGATGCTATGCTTTGGATGGGGTGGGGATGGGGTTGGGGTGGGGTGATGTTAACGTTGAAGTTACACACGGACTTGATGCGTAGGATGGGGTGGGGATGGGGTTGGGGTGG